TGGAAACGTGTCCATATTGGGAATTGAATATTGAAAATCTATGTCTAGATTAGAAACATTTATGCAAAAGGATGTTCAAAGGAATGTACTTTGAGTGAGAGACATCATATCTAAGGAATTGTCTTATAACAATCTCCGATAGAAGATTTTGTAATATCATTGGCAATAGTCTTTGTGACTTTGGTGCAGTGACATTACGAAAGAATCATTGCATAGAATGTTAGAATCTAGCATATTCTATAAGTAGCAAGAATTTGATATTCTTTCACTTATGAAAACGGATTTGGAGTTGTGAAATGAGAATGATTGGAAATGTGTTCAATTTGATCTATTTCACAAAGTAAGAACCATAGGTAAACATTTTATGCATGCTAGGAGCATGGGACAAGTGTAATAATTCAAGTAAGAAGTTGATTACCCGAAACAACAAATAATGAGTAATCGATATGGTGATAAATAAAATGAGTTTTATTTATACTCAAAGGTTCGAGGCCATATGGGATTAGTATTATTCTTGTGTTTCACTTTGCATGTTTTGACTTCTTGAATAATTTAATTGGTTAAGAACAGTCAAATTATTCAAACGGGCCACAATCGTTCATATGTTGGAAGTAGGTATGAATGAAGACTGTCGTGAATTGGTGTGTGGATTGTCTAAAAGAGTATTAGACATAAGCAAATATTTGTTGCAACGTTCATGAGTGCTTATGAATATGAATTTGAGCATTCGATTAAAGCCACGCTCACTTGGATCACTCCATGAATTGTATCATGAGTGATTGGTGAGACGATAACATCTTATATTCTTGAAACCGAGATGTGTGAGTTGTATCTTGCTAATCGGTTGCACATTGATAATATGAGAACGCACTAGTAACTTGGTGTTATAAAAAATATTGTTGTGTGTGATTCGGTGAGTGAGTGCAAGCAAGCATTGTATCAAAGTTTATCTGTTCCTTTTATCCAAAGAAGGATAAAAGCGATATCTTTGGGCCCTTAGATGATTTAGTGATGAAAAACGTAAATGCTCGGCCGGGCTAGGGCTAATTTGATTTGTTCAATTAGTCAGTCGTCATAAATCGGAGATCGAGAAATAGTACAAACAGAATGTTTAGAAATCATGTCTTACGATATCTAGAATGGAGGAATATATGATCCCTTATCTAAAGGACACGCGTATCTGATAGGATCAGAGTTGACAACGGCTTTGGAAAGCTACGATTGCAGATCAAGATCTGAAGTCATACGCAGAATAGTTATTAGACTTATCCAAGTGGGAGACTGTTTGATTAGTCTCTAAGTCCATAACAATTTTGGTATGTACTTGACCCGATGGTGCATGGTCCTTTTGGGTTGCCTTCACCAAAGCAACTTGATAGGATGACTTATGGAGAGAAAGGATTAAATATGATTTATTAATATATTATGAGAATAATATATTAAAGGAGAAATCATATTGTTTAATAAATATTAGTCAAGAATTAATTAGTAATTAGTTTTGTGACTAAAAAGAGATTAATTAAACTTAAGGGACTGGAATTGTAATTATAAGATAATTGCAATTTGGGCTATGGATTGTCTTAAATTAAGGAGTGGACAAATTCTATGGGGAAGCCCATAAGGAAATCATTCAAGGCCTTAATTAAAGGAGTCTATGGGTTGCTTAGGGCTTAAGCATCCAAATTAGGGTTTCCATGTTAGATAACCCTAATAGCCTCACTATATAAAGACCCCTAATAATCCAAAAACGTGAGGAAGCATTCTTCTAGGGTTAGAACACGTTTTGGGTAGCCTCTATCCTCTATCCTCTTCATTCTCTTGCTCTTGGTGTTTGTGAGCCATTAGAGGAGTGACATTTGTGACTCTAAGCTTTCTAAAGTCTATACAAGGAGGATTTGTGATTGTTATTGCTACATAATAATCAAGGTAATATCTTAAACCCATTATTACGTTAATATCAATTATCGTATACTAAAATTAGGGTTTATAGTCTTGGATGAGTTGCATGTACAATAGAGAAACCTAGATCCAAGCATTAGGGTTTGTATGAGCACATAGGATGTTCTTATGATCAAAACCCATCACCACTAACCATGAACCCAACACACACACACACACACACACACATATATATATATATATGTATGTATGTATGTATGTATGTATGTATGTATGTATGATTCTACCCCTTCCTTTACACTTTTCTAGCCGAAAACACATCCATTCTTTCTAACCTCTCAAACGCAAATACCAAAAATACCCCTTTTCTTCCTAGAATCATCAAGAATCCCCTTTGGGCGTTCTTGTGGAGCCTCTAAAACGCGTTTTTCATGAAAACAAATATTGTTGTTCTTGAATTCACAGCCGCAAACCCTTCAAATCTTCAAATCTTCAAGGGCCAAAATCAGTTCATGATCGTGAACCATTCAATCCTTCATATATTCTTCAAGAACACTAATCACAACCGTAATCCATTCACGAGCTGTTCACAGTCGAGAACAGTTAATGACCGCAAACCTTCCCAGGACGTGAACTTGGTTGAAAACCTACTTTTTCCGATTCAAGCGAGTCTCGATAACATTCCTAAACCAAATTAATGGTTTTTTCCAACACTATAATTAATGGTTTCGCTAATATTACGCTTATATGTGTTTAATTATTATTAGGATCTCGTTAAGTGAAGCGTACATCAACCCAAGTGTTTTCATTTCTAATTTCGTTGTCCGACACTTTCATGCAATTATCAGTGAGTTCATACCCCTACGCTTTTATTAGTTTAATGTTTGAAGGGGGAAAATACAAGCCATACACAAATGATTTTGTGAACTTATACAAAAGGGTTTCAGCAGTTTTAAAACTAATGCAATTGATACAACTAAAAGATTTCCATATTTTTGAAAATGCTTAGATATTTATCCCTTTTGTAAAATGCCGAGCATAAAGGAAGATTTCAACATATTTGTAGAGTTTTCAGTGGAAAACACGAATTGAATACATTAACAAACATATAAACTATAATAGGTATAGTTTATGGAACAATTATCTTATCAATGCACGAAACATAAATGCGAACGAACATATAAGCTATATAGAGTATAGTTTATGGAATATATATAAACAATCATTTAAATTCGAGGGATTTATTTTATTCTACATCTAATCGTTAGTATAGCATTTTATGAGTGAGCATCTTCGTGTACTTATTGAAGTACTAACAAAAGTCATGAGATTATAACCAGAATCTCCTTGAAGGAGAATGTGAGTTTGTGTATATATCTATATGGGATTGACAATCCCACACCACAACTGTTAGCTACAGTTAGGGTGACAACCTTGGGTGACAAAGTCATTTCAATTCCAACACTTGAAGAACATTGTTCAGGCAATTCAATGGTCAAGTATGGTTATAACAACTCATAAAGTTGGTACTAAATAACACGATTAATGTACGGATGTTAACAACTTCAATTGGTTTTACTCTAAAACAATATAACTACTTTACATACCGGAGGATTTCAGGGTTTTCACAATATAGTTTTCATGTAAGACAATACTATAGAATACTACTGGCGGTATCCAAATATATATATATATATATATATATATATATATATATATATATATATATACACGTTTACATTTTCATATATTCATAGTACACAGTAACAAACATATATTTCAGTCTTAGAGTTAAAGACTAATTTTCAAAACTAAAGAGAATATTGGATTTTCTTGGGAAGCATACAAATATTTCTTTTACAAAATCAATGACTGCTTTTCGTTATAAAAACATATTTATGAACTCAACGGCTTTAATGCTGATACTCTTTTCAATACCGCTTGTATTCTCAGGAAATCAGTAGATACGTACTCCTGTAGCTTTTGAGAAGACGGAGTGTATAGAGTCACATATTTTATATTTTGTTATACATTTGATGTATACAATCTATGTATCAAACATATGTAAATACCTCTATTTTCAATGTAATGGTTGTGTTTACTTTGATTACTATGATGTAATTGTTGTGATATCATACATGACGTCTTCCACCCCCGAACGTTTCCGTGGTTCCGGTTTCGGGTGTGACAGATTAGTATTAGAGCTATTGTTTAGAGTGAACTAAGTATACTGAACCTTACATGGTATACAACTATAACCACTAAGGGGCCGAAGTGCTCTGAACTGAAAGTAGTTTTTTGAAATACAAGTATCTTATATGAAATATACAAGTATACATACATACCAGAAATAGTATCGCAAGTAGAACAGAACAAAAATATTTAGATGTTTGACACTGGAGTTAATCCATGATAGTTATGTAATAATGTCTAGACTAAATATAGCTTGAGCAACTATATATATTTGAGACATGATCAACACACTACAAGAAAAAGACCCTTTTACGACGTGCAAAACACGACGCTCTTTGATTTATGTTACGCATTAGAGAGCGACATTAAAAAAGTGTCATCTCTTCAATAATTTTAAGGATTTAGGTCGCACATTACTGAGTGCCCTTAAATTAGTGTCTCATGTAAAAATATTAAAAACACAGAAGACGCTTGTGCATCGTCTGTGAATGTCGCTTTATATTTTCTTTAAGAAACGCGCGTCTCGGAGGGAAAATGAAATCCCCAAATTTTTTAAACCCCCACCTTCTTCTCCCTCGTCTCCACCTCTCATTTCCTCTACCAGCCTCAAATTATGGATCAATTTCTTCACATCATGTTTAAGGTTAAGGCTTTGAGATTTCTTCCAAATTGACCCTCACACTAAAATTATGGATCAATTTTTTAAACCCCCACCTTCTTATCCCTTGTCTCCACAAACACACCGTCATCGGATCTTCAGACCACCACTATTCTCGAACCACCACTATTCTCGCCTCCATCGTCGCCAGTGAGAATGATCTACTTGGACCCTGAAAAAGAGAGCAACAAAGGGGAAGATGTGGTGGTGTTCTTGTGTCTGATTGATTTCAGCCCCTTCGCGACCACACATGGTTCCCATCAAAAATTATGTTGCCCTCACCGTCTCTTATATCAAATACCTATTACACCTCCTTCATCAATTCATTAGTTTTCTTTCCCATCGGCTATGGTTCTACTGTATCGATGCTTTCTCGATGTTCCAGTTACTAACACTGGTGGTAGAAGAAGACGGTGGATCGGCGGTACCATACCAAGCGCCTATACAGGTAAACTCCAACTCTCTCGATTTCTGCCTTTTTTCAGTAAAAACCGATTAATTTGAGGTTAGTTAGGGTTTTTCCCATAGTTTCAAATTCGCTCAAATGGCCACGAACCCCGTACAAAATCGATTCATACCCAATCGGGGTACGAAAGCGTTCCAAACGATTCCTGGATCGTAAATCGGTACGGAGTCAAGATAGTTCCAAATCGGTAGCTGGAACGAGCTTAATTCTGTAATCCAGTAGTTTCAAAACGCGATTCTGGGTTCAATTTATGAAATTAGTATGCCGATTTCTGATTTTTAGTACTACATTCATCATAAAACTGTAGTTAGGGCAATGGCATTGAACATGAGCGAGCTATTCAACAGGAGGTAACTAATTGAATTGGTTTTCTTGCCACTAATGATTTTCTGTTTTTTTTCTTGGTTAATTATGTTTTTTATTTTAATATTTCAGAAATGGGAACCCGTTTCGATGCAGCAACGACATGGGAGTTCGATTGTTGAAGTCTATCGCATTATAGAAGAGGTTCTTATTTCATTGCTCTTTATTATATCTACTCTTAAGCATCCATTTCCATTCACTATAATACATTAATAACATACCTTTGTTTTTATCTTCTTTCAGACTGTTGACCAATTTTTTGCTCTAAAGATTCCTATGAGATCTGGAGAAATGAACAGCTTGTTCTGAGGCATTGATAATGCACTTCAAGTATATTCAAAGCATGTTGTTGACAACTTGGGTATGCATATTTAAAATATTAATTTTCAAATCTTGATGACAACTTTGTCATATGTTTGTTTTATCTCATTACTACCAAACCATATACATATAATCTTGCACAACCTGATGTTTTTGGAAAGAATGGAATCAGTCAAAAGAATTCTAACAAAGAGGATGAAAAAAAATTACATTGGTAACAGATAAACAAAAAATATGACAGCTTGCAGGTATTGACAAGGGAACTCATGTCTACAACATAATAGATAATTAAACATATTGTAAAAACACATACTTTTTGTTGGGTCCTACACTTGAATTTTTCATTGGATTCCATGTGTTTCAACCATCATATCTAAGGCTGTATGTGTTCTTTATATGCTCTTTCCGGATTCTTTTAAACAAGATTTAGTAATCTTTTTTTGTTAATATGTTGTTTGGTTGTTTGTAATGCAGCTTAGAGTTGAAACTGTCGCGGTCTTTGTAGGCCCAGTCAACTACTTACTGCTGTCAAAACTTACAAAGGGTGTCGAGAAAACCTTTGATCTTCTGTCTCTTCTTGATAAAATCCTTCCAATCTACAAGTATGCTTTTTTCCTAATCATTTTCATGTTCTTTACAATAAAGTAGAATCCCAGTTTCATTACAACAAGAATTACCCCTGCATGGAAGTGATTGCTGAGTTAAAAGAAGCAGGTGCTACATGGATCCAAGTTGACGTGGCTACCCTTGTGAAGGATCTTGAGGGGTACCAATTGAAAGGTTTCACCAAGGCCTACTCTGAGCTAGAATCAGCCTGCTCTGGTCATAATGTTATTGTTGCCAACTACTTTGTTGATATTCCAGCTGAAGCTTTCAAAACCCTAACTTCATTGCCTGGAGTTTCTGGTTTCACTTTTGATTTTATCCGTGGTGAAAAGGCTCTTGACTTGATCAAGAGCAGCTTCCCATCAGGGAAATACCTTTTTGCTAGAGTTGTTGATGGAAGGAACATCTGGGCTAATGATCTTCTTGGTTCTCTAGCAGGTCACAAAAACAAAGCATTCTTCTCAACCAATGCTGCTATCCAGGTTTCAAGGAAGTCCTCCCCAAGAGTCACAAACGAATCCTTGCAGAAGGTTGTAAGTGATTAAAAACGCTTCCTTTTAATATATATATATATATATATATATATATATATATATATATATATATATATATATATGTATATTGTTATGAATTTTACAACAACAAGGGTGTCTACTTTTATTTGTTTTTTTGCCTTTTAAGAATAGAAATTTTAGGTACTATAGCAACTAAAATAAGATGTAATTTACATTGATGTGGTTTCCTTACCTTTTTGCTTCTATTTATGTATTCTTGCTAATTGCAAAAGTTACTGGTCATATACATAGATACATCTTAATCAGCTTATCAATAAAAGTGAATATGTGTTTTGAAAGGGTTTTACATGTATATGGCTACATAGTTTTTGGGTTTTTATCATGTGAAAGAGTATTACTATGATTCTTTGCATGCTTAGTAAATCCATATGCTAATGCTAGTATTAACTTTAAGGGCCTCTTTTTGTGTTTGCCCCAAGCCTCAGATTTTCTTCTAAATGTGTAGGTTTGGAATGTTGATGTCAGATTTTATCGTATCAAGGATTTATCAGGCAAAACCATTTCCTATTTTTACTTTGACCGATACTCTCGCCCAGCTGAGAAAAGAGGTGGTGCATGGATGGATGAAGTTGTTGCAAGAAGTCGTATACATCAGATGACAAAAACTCTGTTTGGTTACCTTTTCTTTCCATATCATTTGTAGGTATTTTTATGAAGTATAGAAATTCAAGATTCTCATACACAAAAACTAGAAGAAAAGCTACTAAATAAAAAATTCCGAAAATACCCCTGTATCTTATTTTTTGATTTATCCTAACAGTTAATACAAATGCTCATTATCTGCAAGGTCGTCTATATCTATATCTATGCCTGAATATAATAATACAATGGACATGTTGATGAGATTGCTTACTAGTACTAGAGAGGATTTTTCCTTGAAAGAGTTGATGGAATAATTTTTAAGAACATGTAATTAAATTAAGCAACATAAATATTGGTACTATATTGTAAGAACATGAAGGGCGACTCAGCTGATATGTCAACAGGTAATATTTTTTCATAATTTTGACTACATGTTGCCATTTTATGAAGATAATACTGACATAGCCCCTGTGAAACATAAGTCTAGACATAGAAACAATGACAAATTTCAATATGTGGAAGCCAAATAAAATAGACATATGAATTGATGAAATGTTTTTACAACTGAATTACCTCCTTTAGGTGAGGAAAAATCTTCCACAGAAAAGGAATTGTTAGAATTTGGGAGGCAAAACTCCATTGAAGGTCAATATCTTGACAAACACAATACCCTTGACCAATATGAGTAACAACTAGGGCAAGAACATGCTCCATTAAAGTTCCATCCATTTGGCAACCAAACAAAGCTCAAATTCCAATTCCTTCAAAATCCACACCACACCCTAATAACTTTGTCTTTATACCCAACAACTTGACTTGTTTTGGTATGTGTAGTGTATGATAGAGGTGAATATTCTTGTTGAAGACATAGTGAAATTGGGCAGTCGAGCAGAGGATGCTAACTGATTGATCTCAATTCTCTCAACAACCACAGATGAGATGAATAATGGTATGGTATTCTTTCGTTTGATTTTAGATGTAACTAACTAGTATATGTATAACTTCCAATACCTTTTTTTTTTTACTTTTTGTAGCCAGATTGTGAGGCTAGCTTGCTGAGTGAGTGAAATGGTTTACTTTTTTAACCCTGATCCGTTGTTGCTTAGGCCTTGTTTATTTTTTCTTATTCTTGTGGAACCAATGAGCAAATAAAGTATGTTTTTTATCAAGCTGTTGTATCTATTCAGACCCGGCTTAGAGAAATGGTTGCAAGAGATAAGTTCATAAGAAAAAGAAACAAGGCTGCAACTATAGTTGAGGTACTATGGATGAATTATGTTTGTAAAGTATTTAAGAAAATGATTAGAAACAAGGGTGAATTTGTACAGATTAGTTAGCTACTTGCAGGTTGATCTTGAAAAAGCAAAGGGGCAATGGATTGTATTTTTTGTATCTAATTTGTATGTAAATTTTTGTTACAACTTCTATTGATTTGTTTCATCTTTCCATGGAACGATTATGTGTATGACATTAAATTTATGCAATGGATTCTATTTTTTGTATATGATATTTTATTTTCTATTATGAAACATTAAATACAAATTTAATTTGAAAATAAGTAAATCTATAAAAAAATATTTTTTTTTAAACATTTAAAATTATGATACGCAAAAATGTGTGTCATCTTCATTTATGACATGGCCTTTATTGACAGGGACTTTCTTGATACGTATTGTGTGTCACTAACATGCGCGTCGTAAGGTTACGACACGCGAATGCGTGTCGTCTTCCTTTATGACAGGGCCTTCCTTGATATGCATTGTGTGTCATAAACGTGCGTCGTAATTGTGCGTCGTAAATGAGCATCGTAAATGCGCGTTATCTATAGACGACGGGCAAAAGCACGTCGTTTGTCTTTATGACAGGGCCTTCCTTGACGCGCATTTGCGCGTCGTCTGAGCCTTTTACGACGCGCAATGAGCGTCGTAAAGGGCTGTTTTTCTAGTAGTGACATGTGTTTTGGAGTGACTGTGGTGTTGTAACAGGCCTAAAACTTAGCAAGCTATATACAACAAGTGATCGATATAATAGAACATACAACTTTAAAATACTATAGGAGTAGTTTAGCTAGAGCTGATCTCAGTGTATAGATTCATTCCAAGTGTTGCTACTTATTTCTTTTCTAGCGATAGTACACTTGTATTGGTATCCTTTCTTTGTATATCGCTTAGTAGAACACTTTGTCTATCAGGTTGAGATATGTGTTGTTTCATATCACTTGATTCTAGGGGACTTAACATCCTCTTCTTCTTTATTCTTTTAGAATAAGATGTCTCCAAGGAAGAGACCCAACATAATGAACAATAATCCCCCGAAAGATCTGACGCCGCCCCTTACTCAGTTCAATCCTGCTATGTTCCAAGCAGTAGTTATAGCTGTTGTGGCTGCCGCAATGTCACAGATCAATTCTTGCGGATCTAGTGGATCGGGAAGTGAAACCCATCCCCTTAATCTTGATGGTGGTCAGGGACACCAAAAGGAGTGTTCCCACAAAGAATTTATGAATGTGAAACCCAAGTCCTTTAACGGCAATGGAGGTGTCATTTCCATAACTCATTGGTTTGAGAGGATCGAATCAAATTTCAAAATCTGTGTGTGCCCCGAGGCAAGCAAGATGAAGTTCGCCGCCTGCACCTTCACCGATAGAGCCCTGAGTTAGTGGAATAGTAAAGTCAAATCCCTAACTATGCAGGTAGACAATGCCATGGGTTAGGAGAGTCTGAAAGAACTAATGCTTGCGGAATACTTCCCGAGGGGGGAGATGCAAAAGTTGCAACACGAGCTCTGGAACCTAAAGATGAGGGGTTCCGACATTGTTGTCTAAACTGCTAGATTTAGCGACCAAACCCTTCTGTGTCCCGGGATGGCCACCATGAAAAGCAAGAAATCTGAGAGGCACAAATGGGGATTGAGACCCCGAACTCAAGGAAACGTATTGGATGCCAAACCACTCATATTTGACAACGCCAAGTGCCTGGCGCAGACTCTGATAGATCATAGGATTGATCATCAACCCGTATCAGCCATTCCTAAAGCACCAAATTCGAGTTGTGATAAGAATAATTTATGGAAGAAGTGAAAAGGAAAGACTTCGTAGGAGCCCTCCAAGAAGCAACAGATAGTGGTAGTCCACATTGCTAGCGTTCATGCTACTGTTCCTACTACTCTAACAACTCCTAGCCGTTATGCTAGAAACCTGCCCTTGTGCAACAAATGCAACTTCCA